TTTATATTGTTATAACGTTATATTGTTGAAACAAATTTGATGAGTTCACATACTTAATTTAATATTTTCGCTTACCAAACGGAAGGATAGATTAACAACTTTTTTGTTGTTGCCTGCATCTCATTGTGCATGTAGCTGATCGTTAAGTTCTAAATCATTTAACAGATCTCTTTAACTGTAATTTATAACAGTATATTAATGTTATTTGCTCAAAAATAATAATTGTTAGACCACCTTTCTAAATAACTTTATCTTAAAATGTAAGGCAGATTTACATTATAATACTAATAAGAAAACAGCAATTCTCTTAGTTTTAAACTCTTGAATTAAAAGCGTAATAATAGCAGTACAGGAAAATAACTTTAAGTTAGGGATTCAAAAATATTTAAAGAAAAGCATGACTTTTATTAATTTTATGCTGACTACAACCAAAACAATAAGGAGACGAACGAGGAAAAACTGGATCACACCACGTGATTTTCTGGCCAATAAAAATGCACTGACAACAATGGAAAACTGCGACACCAACATTAGAATTTTATATATAGTAAGAAATACTACTGCTTAGTAAATATAATAGCCGTCTCAAGTTAAAGCGATTCCCTCTCCATTGCATTAGTTCTGTCAAATTTTGCTTTTCTCCAAACGCTAGTGTATTCCAACTACTTACTGAAATCAGAAACAAGCATCTCATTTCTCCAAAAATTATTAAAAAAGACTCAAAAATTATCCATTCTTTTATAACACAATACATGTAACAAATACATGTTCAGAAACGAGACTGTTTCGAACAGATGAATGTTTTTTGTATACATTTTAAAAAAGTATTTCGAAATACATGTGGGTGATTTTAAAAATTTAGACGTGCACATTTTAATTAGAAATCATTTTCAAACTGCTTCCTTTTCTTCAAATATTACGAAAATTTTTTAAAGAGTCTATTCGTATTTAATACAATATATGCCTCTTAAACCGGCTTGATTTGTAAGAAGAACAAATTCTTTTAAAAATATGTTTTTTTAATATTCTGGTATTTTCAGAAAATTTGATGCACACATTTTAATATGGAATACACTTTAAATTGATCCCTCTTCTCCAAAAATTATTACAAAAAATTCTCAAATTGTCACTTCTTTCATAACTCAAAATATGCTCAGAATCAAGCTTGCTTTAAACCGAAGAATGTTTTTTTAAAAATTTACTAGAAACATTTCTAAATACATAGGGGAGTTTTCAGAAATTTTGACACGCGCACTATAATATGAATGCGATTTCAAATTGGTCCCTTTACTCAAAAAATTCGAAAAAATTCTCAAAGTGTCCATTCGTATTTAAGACAATATATGCTCTGAAACAGGCCTGATTTGGAGAGAAGAATAAATTTTTAAAATATTGAAATAAATAAATTTCTAAGTAAAGATGGGCATTTTCAGAAAATTTGATGCACACATTTTAATATAGAATAAGCTTTAAATTTATCCCTCTTCTCCAAAAATTATTACAAAAAATTCTCAAATTGTCACTTCTTTCATAACTCAAAATATGCAAGTCAAAATATGAAAATCAAGCTTGCTTTAGACCGAAGAATGCTTTTTTAAAAATTTACTAGAAACATTTCTAAATATATAGGGGTGTTTTCAGAAATTTTGACACGCGCACTATAATATGAATGAGATTTCAAATTGGTCCCTTTTTACCAAAAATTCGGAAAAATTCTCAAAGTGTCCATTCCTATTTAAGACAATATATGCTCTGAAACAGGCCTGATTTAGAGAGAAGAATAAATTTTCAAAATATTAATAGAAATACATTTCCAAATAAAGATGGGCATTTTCAGAAAATTTGTAGCGCGCACTTTAATATAGAATCAGCTTTAAATTGATCCTTCTGCTCCAAAAATTATTACAAAAAATTCTCAAATTGTCACTTTTTTCATAACTCAAAATATGCAAGTCAAAATATGAAAATCAAGCTTGCTTTAGACCAAAGAATGCTTTTTTAAAAATTTACTAGAAACATTTTTAAATATATAGGGGTGTTTTCAGAAATTTTGACACACGCACTATAATATGAATGAGATTTCAAATTGGTCCCTTTTTACCAAAAATTCGGAAAAATTCTCAAAGTATCCATTCCTATTTAAGACAATATATGCTCTGAAACAGGCCTGATTTGGAGTGAAGAATAAATTATCAAAATTTTTAAAAATATATATTTCCAAATAAAGGTTGGCATTTTCAAAAAATTTGATACACATATTTTAGCTTTAAATTTATCCCTCTTCTCCAAAAATTATAAAATAAAATTTCGTGTTTGATTAAGTAATTTTTTTTTTTTTTGATGAGTAAAAATGCTGTTCAAGGAGAATAATAGGGTATGGAGATTCTGCAGCAGAAAAATCAACTATTATTGATTTGTACGCTGAGTTTAAACGCTATCACAGAGACATTTTCGATGATAAACGCTCTTGTTGGCTAAAATCAGCAATTACTCCTGAAAACATTATAGATATTCTAAAAATGTTTTGAAAGATTGGAAAGTGAAGTTGTGTGGGATAGTAGACACCTTAAAACTATGAAAAAATAGTGTGTATGCAATTTTACATGAAAATTTGACCATGCGCAAGCTGCTTTTGGAATGGGTTGCGCTTTGACTTATACCGGATGAAAAATACAACGTATTTAGGATGCTATTTAGAACTGCTTTTTAGAAGTAATTTGAACCGAAGAATAAATTTTCGTTTTTTTTTTTTTTAAATATTTCCATACATTGTTGGGTATATTCAGAAAATTTGTGGCACGCATTTTAATAGGAATTCAGCTACAAATTGGTCATTCTTCTAAATATGATATAAAAAAAATTCTCAAATTGTCCATTTTTTTATAACATCATATCATTTTTTTTAAATTTTATAACAATCGTTGAACAGCCGACCCAATATTTGGTTTTCGACTAGTTATGTTCAACTCAGTAGTCCTGTAATTTTGATGTAAACAATGCTGAATTAAAATATCCTCTGTGGTCATGGTCATGGATCATGGCAGGTTAACAGTGGGAGATTTTCATGGCTTTCATCTCCATGCAACGCAAATGCAGGGTAGTACCATCAAAAAGTTCTCTACGAAGGCAAATTCCTCACAATGCTTGATCCAGGAGCCCCCCCCCCCGTGTTCTGGATTGGGTTCAAAAGTACAAGGCTACGAAGTTGAACATTAGTAGTCGAAACCCGAATTCATTGACGGTTATAAAATATAAAATAAAATAATGATTTAAGAATTCACATGGCTTCCAAATGACACTGAGCCCCGGCATTTGTGAACTGTATCTGTATATGGGCTCTCTCAATGATTAAATACTATGCGATTTCCCGGTTACAGATTGAAGCAAACAATGGTGGGTCGAACATCCGGGTTGCCAGGCTCGACTAAAAATGCAAAAAGTAGTGACAAAAAGAATTCAAAATTTTATTAAAAAAGATTAAAATTAGCAACTTTTTCTAGCACGATTTTTTTGTTTGTTTACTATTAAAAGAGAATTAGATGATTGCTTTAATTATGAATAATTTAAAATCTATGTCCTGGTGACAGTTACGATTGACTATTTGAACTAAACTCAGTGGCGCGACAGCCCATAGAGGGCCAAGGCCTGCTGTGCCCATCTCACTTTTCTTGACCTTGGGTTCTGTGGTGCAGGAGCAGATGTTTCGGTTAGGTGGTCAGCCAAACGTGAAACTCCCAGTGTTTAGTTCCCAAGCATGCTTGGTACTCATTTATCGACCCACTGAAGGGATTAAAGGCTGAGTCAACCTTTCCTGGCCCGACGATCGAACCCAGGACCTCTGGCACGGGAGTTCGAAGCGACCACATTGACTAATTAAAGAGATAATAAATAAATAAAAATAAATGGAGTTTCTACCATTTTTTATATTTATAGTCACTAATGGCATCCCTTTCGAGCATGCTTTATAAATTTTGTATATTGTTTTACGTGTTTGTTCTCTATGAAGTTGTGAAACGCCATCACTAGATGACGCTTCATAGCTTCAAGAACACCACATAGCTACAGTAACCTATTTTTTTTACTATGTGTATCATATCAGGTTTTATTTTCTTTAAGGAATTAGATGTGGAGGCAGCTGTTAACCAGATCTACTACTCTCTCCAGGTTCATTCTGCTTATATATATCTGATTCATCATCAATATAAAGAGGACAGTCCGAGGTGCCCCGGAACTCTTCCTCGAGAGAAACAATTGGCGGCACAATCACTCATCTTGGCGAACAAACAGAAGTCATTAGTGTGCACCATTGAAACTTCAATGTCGCTTCTAGGTTACAATCGAAATGCAACCTATTCCATTCTAGAACTTGAGGTAACGGATCTAAGTCAGTGTTCCCATATGGCGATCAGGGATTGTCAAGTTCTCCGTAGCATCATACATTTGTTAAACACCATGGCAAGATACTCTCAAACACAAACATTGTAGCTTGTTTCTGCGGAAACAGGATTCGTCTTTTATATATGTGAATAACTCATTTTGTATCATCGTTGTTGTTGAAATCGCATCCATTTTGTATGTACGTTGAAATAAATAAAAATTATCTAGTCAATACACGAAGTATGCGTGTAATTTATTTTATGCAAAAGCTTTGATTCCTAGAGGGTTCCGCGATAGCCCAGCAGTTAATTGTTTCCTGGACTTTAGTCTAATGATCTAATTAAGCTAATTAGTGGGTTCCCAACATCGGATAAATATCAAATTAAAAATATTAGTCAATAATCAATTATTAAAATAAAAATTTCTAAACTGAAATAAAAATTTCTAAACTAAAATAAAAGACCTGCAATGGAAAAGCTTGTTGAAACAAAACAATAATGATACTTTAAAAAAAAAAAATTCTTGAAAATGCAAAACATTGTTTTTAAAAAAAGCAGCTTTTCGTTGCCTTGAGAAAAAGGAATATTCACTCAAAATTTTGTAAACGGTGCACAATGTGGCATAATATGATTCCCTCGACAAGCCACAGAAATTACACTTTGAAAGATTGTTATAAGTATGACATCCAGGCCCCATATCTTCCCTTAATATTAACTTATAATTTTCGAAATCGTTCAGATATTATACTGCTATATCAAAGGAAATAATTATAGCAAATTAAAAGGGACCACAAAATGACACAACAGGGTTACATAAGCAGACCGTAGAAATTGCTTTAACAGTCAAACGATTTAATAGTGTGTAAGCTACAAATTGTTTGATCCGGGGTTTGCATGTTCGAAACCCGGCTGCAATTTTTTTCTTGAAAATTATATGCAAAGGAAAAATTTTATTTACTTATTTTACTTATTTATTGTGATGTAAATAAAATATCTTTTTACTTAATATTATTATTATTCATTTTCTAAGAGCGTATATTAAGAAAATCGTTAAAATGAAGAAATTGTTGCTCCTATACTGTATATACTGTAGCATACTATACCAAATGAAATAATTATCGATAGGGGGCGCACAATGGGGAATTATATGGTTCTTTCGACAAACCTTGGAAGTTACTTAAAATGCTTGTTATAAGTCTGAAAGGTAGTTAAATGTGTAGCTTTATGTTTGAAGCGTCAATTGCTAGTCCGGAAATTTCGTAGTTTGATCCCCGGCTGTGGTCAATTTTAAAAAATTACTTTAAAAAAGTATATTTTTAAAATTTATTTTACGTTATGGTATCATAAACAAAAATTATTTTACTGTTTTTTTTTAATTTTTTATGTATGTTTATAATAAAAGCTTTTGCAAAATAAAAAAATTTTAAGAGAAAAAAATATTTAAGATTTTTCCTCATGCGTTCATATTAATGTTTTGTATGGAATTAGTTTAAAACGTGCCGGACGCTAATTTACAGCCAGCAGTCATGAATAACTATTAAGAATTCGCAACATTCATAAAAAATGGTATATTTTCCGAAAAAAGAACTTTATTTTACGACAAAGCCGTCGGAAAACATCCGTAAATTTCTTGATTCAGAAATGTTATTTTATTTTATTTCATTTTACTTTATTTTATTTTATTTTATAACCGTCGTTGAACAGACGACCCAATTTTTGGGTTTACGACTTCAAATGTTCATCTCCGTAACCTTGTAATTTTGAAACCAATCCAGAAAACAAGGGAACTCCTTGATCAAGTATTGGGAGAAATTTTGACTTCGTGGAGGACTTTTTGATGGCACTAACCCACATTTGCGTTACATGGAGAGGAAGACCACGAGAAACTCCTACGGTTAGCCTGATGAAAGGGACTCTAACCCGTGATCCGTCTACCACTGAGGATATTTCACGTCAGCACTGTGGTCGGTAGGATGCGGATTCGTATCGATCATGCATTGGTGGAATTCGAACCTGGTTCACCTCATTGGAAGACGAACGCTCAAGCCCCTGAGCCATCACAGAAAACCAAGATGTCTGCTAGATTTTTTATTCTTTCTGAATACTATTTTCTGCAAAGGTGATATTTACAATTAGTAAAGTAGGCGCAGTACATTAAATTTTTAAGAATAGAAGTGCTTTGCTCTTCTATTCATTGTGTAAAATTAAAGTCGTTAAAGTATTGATTGTGAAAAATTAAAGTCGAGAGAAATGGTCTATTTAAATGTTTGAACACAATAAAATAGTCCAATCTTTTAAAACTGTATAGTTCTAAGTAATAAAATCCAATGATATAGTTCGAATAATTTCGAATTTCAAAACCAAAATAAGAAGCTTTTATTTCTCGCTGCACTGCCCTTCCTTATTGTATCATGCTCATTTGCTACGAATTCATGGAGTCGGGAAAAATGAATCATTAAAGTGATTCGAGTAAAAGGAATCTGGACCAAAGCCTTGCTCACCCAAACTAATTTGAAATACAAGCCTCTGTCGAATCGCAAAAATATCATACGTAGCATACCAAAGTTTTTAGATCACTGACTAATGATTCAGATTACTGATGATTCAAATCGTTAATTCGAACTACTTGCTGTTCGATTCTAACATTGTATACGAGCATTTTTTTTTGTTGTCCTTATGAAAAATGCGTTAAGAATTCTATTTTTAGAAAACTTTCTAGACTGAATTAATCATTATTCATTGATCAAGTTATAGGATTCAAAACGATTAGACAGAGCCACAGAATTAAGATGCGAATCATTAAATCAGCAACCAACTCTATGTTCATAGTTATTTTTTTATACGAATAGATTTTACAACGCTGTAGTTTTCATTTTTCAATATGAATATTTTAGAACTTTAGCCCTTAAACGTCAAACATAATTTTAAAAAAATATCTTGAATTTTTTTTAAATTTAATTAACATTATTTTTTTTTAATGACGTACGTTTGGTCAATTAAGAGATCCCCTTTGGTTGTAGCTAGAGTCTAAGTATGCAGTTCCCGAAGAATCTATTTAATTCTTACTCTGTTAGTCAGGCATTTTGATGATTTTTCTAAACTTATTCATTTCTGTGATTTTCGGTGATATGCTTCAAAACTTTTTAAGACTGATTTGCAGTAATTGCATCCCATTCTACTTTATTTATGAATCCAACGTAAGACATGTTTAAACAAGAAGAAGAAAAAAAAACGTAATCGATTTTCCATCTACACCCTTAGGTTGACGTTATCACGTGGAAACGATCATTTCCCTATCTGTGTCAGTTATCTTCAAAGATCAGTATCAAACCTGCTCTAATGGCTCTCTCTCTGCTATAAGGCTTTTATCTTTTAAATCCCTCTCAGCATTAAAGGTAAAAGGGTTGCTGGAATTTTAGTTTTCATCGCCAACAATCGGATGGCAATTGTTGTTGCGCAATGAGGCGCGTTTTGATTACTCGCATTTAATGTCTTGTGCTCAGAGCCAGACTACGGCAGGGGCATACGGGGCAGTTGCCCCGGGGCCCTACCTCAGAGGGTGCCTCAAAATCGACTAGAAAGTTTGTTTTACGTTTTCTCCTTTTAAGAAACAAAATATCACTACAGTATAAAATCCGTCAGTTTTATGTTGGCTTCTTCACTAATCTATCGCATGAACGCAATCTGCATTTTGTAAATTTACGGATCAGGGCGGAATTCAGCTAAATTTTCGAAATTAATGTGGTCAAATTTGGCCAATCAAAAGCCTGTATTTTTGCATATGGCAAAATGCAATATGCTTTCAAAAATACAGGCTTCTGATTGACTTAATTGAGCCATCGCAATTTTGAAAATTCAGCTGAAATCCGCCATAATGTGAGCAAGGATATGAATTTTTCGCTGCTAGATAGTGAACGCTTAATTTTTCGCTGCTACAATGTTAACAATCATGATGGACATAGAATTGTCAGAAAATCAATAAAATGAACAGAACAATATTTCGTCTGATCTTTGGAAGGAAAGAATGAACTTTATAGCTATTTTAGGTTTTAGTCAATTTTCTTGTTATCTATAATTAGATGAAAAATGTATATACCTCCACAATGTTCTGTTCTTCATTACTGATGCAGAGGGGGGAGCCCAAAAAAGTTTTTGCCTCGGGCCCCAAACAGGATAAGTAAGGCCCTGTTTGTGCTTGAAGAGCCAGGGCGGTCTTATTAGCAGGTGGGGTCCCCAGACACACAAAAGTTCTCGATACTTATAATATGCCATAATGTTTAAAAACGAATTAAAAAACTTTACATAAAATAAATCATTTTTAAGATGCGATGCAATAATTCTTACAAATTTAAACACATTATGATTACCCCAAAAACATAAAGCATTTTTAAACTATGCATAATTTAAAAAAAAAATGAGAAGCTTACCAGTTTTAATCCTCAAATAATAAAATAATTTTTTAAACTACGGAAGTTAATTAAAATAATTAAATTAAATAAACATAAAGGTATAACAAATCAAAAAATGAAATTCAAAAGGTATGAATTATTTTGTCAAACTAAACTGTTGTTAAAACATCTTTCAACGCCCAAGTACCTAAACTTTTCAAGAATTTTCGGTAGCCTTTTTAAATTTACTTGGTGATAAACTAATCAAATTATTGGTGTTTGCATGATAATCAATTACTATTTGTAGAAAAAGCGCACATTTTATACAATATTTATTACGAAAAATACATAAGGCAATGTTGTTTATTATTAGCTTTATTTTTAATACAACTGAAAAAAATTAAGATTCTCAAGGCCCCCGTGGGTGCCTGGGGCCCCGGGTGTGCCCATGCGTAAAGACGGTATTGTGAAGAGCCGAGTACTTTAAATGAGTATACCGAGAAGCTAAAGAGTACATTAAGTATCAATTTTCAAAATATTCAATAAGTCACTTAAAAATCTTGTGAACGCAAATGAATATTTTTCTCGTAGAAGTAGTTTTTAATGACAATGCAAGTCGCAATTGTTACCAGATTTCTAAAGGAATATTTTATCAGTGTAGCAAATTAATCTTTTAAATTTTGACACCATCCTGACAAGCTAGAACATTTTATTTAACATTGTGTTGTATGTAAATACAATTAAAAAAATGAGGCAATAAAGGCTTATCACTGATCAAAATTTCAAACATTTTCTAGTAAAAAAAATTATGCACGTAATAAAATTAAAATATTTGAGTGTGCATG